TAGCTACAGCATAGGCTCTACCTAGTGACGTACTCAGTCTTCTGTTGGTCATTGCTGTGATTTTTTCACCTTTGTAATCAAGTTGAATGTAGATTAGCTTTTTTCATTAGCCGATTCAGTTGGAAACTTTTATTTCACTATTTAGTCAATATGGCAACAGCAAGGAATTTAATTCATACCCGGATGTTCAACAATCACATTGGCTGGTCCAAGATCATTTGGCTGTGGTATCTATTGATTATTGTTGGCATTATTATTAATATGAAGTAAGTGGATGAATGGCCACTTGTGAAGTAGTTCGAGCTGTTCAGTTTGTCCTAATTTGGACTCGTTAGCTCAATATACCTGCCATTCTATGTCAGCGATGGTAGCGCTCTCACTGAGACTGGATACCATTACCCATCGTTTCAAACATTAGATCACTTTGAACCACAGTAACATCTCAGTCGGGAGGAGAATAGTAATATTCACAAATTGATATCAAGAAACTGATAGGTACTCACACAATTTCAGATAAACGGCGTCTTAACTCCGATCAGACTGTCAGCGCGAAATCATCTACAGAAATCGTGAGAAAATTCATCTTAGCATTTATTAAAATGTTTAAGAACATTCAAAGTAGAATTAGCCCACTAACCAATACGATCACTGTATTCAGTACTGGGAAAAATAAAAGACTGAACCAACAGCAGAAGAAAACAAGATGAGAACCATACACAAAATAAATGACATGAATTGTAATAAGTACCATACTGCAAAAATCCCTCGATTTTGAATCCAAGGATGTAAATCAGCTGACAATAGACAGAACATGCTTTCTTTTATATCAAACTCATGTACACATCTATGGATATCAGTTCGATTGGGGAGATTTAAAAAATCTAGACAGTGGAAACACGAATAATGCAAACAAATGCCTAAAAGCGTGAAACTCATGCAAATTAGCGATTGAATAAGGCAAGAACAACAGTGGTGGTTTGTGCAGAATAATATGGTGCCATCATTGCTTATTTCGTTGGCTTCTCATCAGCTCAGCTGCCTGCTTACAGTCTAAATAAATTATGAGGTTTACGTACAGAAAAGTTTTAACATACTTGCAAATTTTAAATCTATCAGTTGACAGAACGTTCCACAATTGTAATTTGCAAGTACGTAGTGACTTGGTGAGATGGCATCTCCTCGACACTGGTCATGATGTGGAAATCGAGAAATCCTTTAAAATTATCAATAGACAAAGGAGCTCTATTCTCCTCAGGTTTGCCGAAGCTATTTCTATCAAACGCATCAAACTAGATTTATGTGTTCAGAAAGAAGCAGTTATTAGTCTTTCCTTGCCCTGCCTGGTAACTGGATGTCTTTGTTCTCTCATCTGATTACTCAATCTTTGTCTTTAAACTCACCCGTCCTTTTTCATAATCTTTAATTTTGCTTGTCTCTTGTTTCTATGACGTGAGTTGAACTCAGTACAACGTTGCCTAATTTATTAGTAACTCATCACCTTACTCACCTCTCGTCTTTATTACGTAACTCCTTTACCATTGTGTGCATACATTTATTTTGACTTGAACTGCCTTTGTGAAAACTATATCAGCGCAATTTTTCTGAGCACTGTTCACTAATTGTGGAAACTTCTGTCAACTGATAGATTTAAAATTTGCAAGTATGTTAAAACTTTTCTGTACGTAAACCTCATAATTTATTTAGACTGTAAGCAGGCAGCTGAGCTGATGAGAAGCCAACGAAATAAGCAATGATGGCACCATATTATTCTGCACAAACCACCACTGTTGTTCTTGCCTTATTCAATCGCTAATTTGCATGAGTTTCACGCTTTTAGGCATTTGTTTGCATTATTGGTGTTTCCACTGTCTAGATTTTTTAAATCTCCCCAATCGAACTGATATCCATAGATGTGTACATGAGTTTGATATAAAAGAAAGCATGTTCTGTCTATTGTCAGCTGATTTACATCCTTGGATTCAAAATCGAGGGATTTTTGCAGTATGGTACTTATTACAATTCATGTCATTTATTTTGTGTATGGTTCTCATCTTGTTTTCTTCTGCTGTTGGTTCAGTCTTTTATTTTTCCCAGTACTGAATACAGTGATCGTATTGGTTAGTGGGCTAATTCTACTTTGAATGTTCTTAAACATTTTAATAAATGCTAAGATGAATTTTCTCACGATTTCTGTAGATGATTTCGCGCTGACAGTCTGATCGGAGTTAAGACGCCGTTTATCTGAAATTGTGTGAGTACCTATCAGTTTCTTGATATCAATTTGTGAATATTACTATTCTCCTCCCGACTGAGATGTTACTGTGGTTCAAAGTGATCTAATGTTTGAAACGATGGGTAATGGTATCCAGTCTCAGTGAGAGCGCTACCATCGCTGACATAGAATGGCAGGTATATTGAGCTAACGAGTCCAAATTAGGACAAACTGAACAGCTCGAACTACTTCACAAGTGGCCATTCATCCACTTACTTCATATTAATAATAATGCCAACAATAATCAATAGATACCACAGCCAAATGATCTTTGACCAGCCAATGTGATTGTTGAACATCCGGGTATGAATTAAATTCCTTGCTGTTGCCATATTGACTAAATAGTGAAATAAAAGTTTCCAACTGAATCGGCTAATGAAAAAAGCTAATCTACATTCAACTTGATTACAAAGGTGAAAAAATCACAGCAATGACCAACAGAAGACTGAGTACGTCACTAGGTAGAGCCTATGCTGTAGCTAGGCTGGTTTCCATCAATCAAACAACTTCCTCTTTGGTGCAGTCGAAAATCGATAGATATCCTTCACATGTTAATTCCAACTGTAAATAAAAGTTTACATGTATCTGCGGAAGCAGTTACATTGGAACAACAGATAGAAAGGTATTATATAAGATTTTCTGAACATGTAGCAAAAGCCTAGGTGTAAAGAGGACGAATGCTTTAAACACTGCTATCGCCAGGCATCTCCTTGACTGCAGTTTGAAGGTGGTCGTCGCAAGATCGTTCAAAATGATAAATAGGCAAAATAGTTCAATTCTTCTCACGTTTGCTGAAGCCATCTCCATCTACCGCCTGAAACCTGATTTGTGCGTTCAGAAGTAACCAGTTATCAGTCTTTCCTTGTCCTGGTAACTGTATATTTTCACCCTCTCATCCATCTGATTACGCAGTGTCGAAAGTTTCCATTGCGTATAATCATTATTTTTCGGAATAGTGTTTCATATTATATATATTATTATTATTTCCTTTTATTCCTGGAGGAATAAAGAGCTTCAGGCGCGCAACTCCATTGCGTTCGGTTTTCTGCTAGAGTTTTTACCTGGCTTCATTTCTACCCATATGTTTTCACCTCTTCTTCACGTGACCTCCTCCAAGTCACTCTCACATTGACGACCAACTCGCCGCTTCCCTTCCGGGTTCCACTCGAGCAATGGCTTGTCTATTGATGCCACTTGATGGTCTCCTCAGAGTATGGTCAATCCATCTACATTGCTTCCTGCCTATTTGTTTCACAATCGGTTCCTGCTGGGTTGGTTCGCTCATAGACAGAGATCTCTGCTGCTGATCTTTTCTGGCTGGCCATCTGATCTAGAGTATTGAGCGAAGACAGCTACTGATGAAGGTCTGAAGTTTGTTTGAGATGCTTTCTATGACGCGCTGGCCAAGTCTCTGATCAGTACAGTAGCACTGACTTCAAATCTGAGTTGAAAATCCGGATCTTAATTTTGATGCTGAGTTCTGTTGACCTCCACACAGACTTAAGAGTAATGAAAGCTTGCCTAGCTTTCCCAATCCTCGCTTTGATATCCTCACCAGCTCTGTCTGATTAAATTTGAAACGATGCTTCCCAGGTGGGTAGGTAAAGGAGGTCGCTTCCTTCAGATTTCTCCCATTTATGCTGATTGTTGTCTGTTATTGTTGTCGCTGTTGGCCAGAAATCTTCATCGCCCCTGTTTTGTCTGTGTTCACCTGAAGTCCTACCTTCTCCGGATGCTTCTTCCGCCAACATTTTGCTTTCCACTTGTGTATCTTCCATTTTGTAAGAAATCAGACATATATCATCAGCGAAGTACGGATCCCCCAAGTTTTTGTTTGAGTCCATTTTATGCCTGTTTCCTCATTGCCCGGCCCGCTGTCTGTCGCATTATCCAATCAATTGCAATCAGGAAGATCACTGGCGATAGTAGACAGCATTGCTCCAACCTCGTCCTCACTTCGAAGGCTTCTGTAAGTTTCCCGTTGTGGATTACTTGGCATGCAGCATTGTCGTATAACTGTTGGATGAGATGTATAATTGTCGGTGGCAGTCTGTAGTTGCGAAGTAGTCGCCAAATGACCTCTCAATCGACGCTGTCGAAGGCATTTTCAAAGTCGATGAAGTTGAGTGAAGTAGAGAGGTGACTGCCATTCCAAGCTTCGTTTAATGATGATCCGTAGATTAGCGATTTGATCAATACATGAATGGTTTCTCCTGAATCCAGCTTGTTCCGGTCAAAGTTTTTCATCGAGGTTGGGTTGTTTGATTCTCTCCAGGATGATGCGGCTTAGTATTTGCTTGGGATGGGCAGGAGCATAATTCCGCGTCATTTTTGCATTGGCTTAAGTCTCCTTTCTTTGGTAGTTTGAATAAGTATACTTCCTTCCAATCCCCACGTACATATATATATATATATATATATATATATATATATATATAATTACTGTGTGTATATACTGATTGATTTTCGCTTAAAAATGTACTCTGTGCAAGCATGCTAAAATTGTTTCTGTGGATATACTTAATGTCTCTGTTCTGTAAGCTGATGATGAGATGCCAATGAAACTACTGATGGTACCATTTTATTCTGCAAAAACTGTTATCCTTGCTTCATTCAAAAGGGTGACAATCGAATGACCAATTTGATTTAAGCTTTATTAGATAGATAGTTTAGTTCATAAAATTTGACTGGCATTCTATACACGAGGATAGTATAAAAGAAGACTCACTTTTCTGGTGTAAGAAACAACTTGAACCGAAATCAATAACTTTCAATTCAGAGGGATTATTCAAACCAATAAGAATATTTTCCTGTAAGAGAAATCACAAGTATTATTTTCTTAGAATACGAAAAAATAACTGTTAAATAACAAAATGCCTAAGGTTTCATTTTTCAGTGTAACAGAAGTATTTCCCAGCCTCACACACAGAGACTCGAACCATATATCACTGTTCACTGAAATCAAAAATGTTACTATTCAGGTTCACGACTGATCTCCTGATTCAGGACTGAAATATATATAGGTTGAACACTCACTAAGAGGCAACCTACCAGTATCTAGTCAAGTTTCTAATACCCGAGGAAATCATATATTAAATTCTGCACCACATGGGCTCAAATCTCTGAGATGACATCAGTCCCGTAGAAGTGGAAGATAATTTCGAGCTCACATTTGTTATACAGCCGCTAAAATTCAGAGAATAGTAGACAGGTTTTCGTAATAGTTCCGTAATCCTCAATCTACAATGCAATCATGACCCCACTTAGGTAGAATCAACTCAAAACTTTCATGTTACAACACGAGCTCGACGACTTTCCAGCCACTTGGACAGAATCTAGTGACTGCCCCATGGATTCTAACTCCTGCTAGTCCAGCTGGAAGACTGGACAGCTGTTTCGTCCTAGTTCGGGACTCTTCACAAGTACGCAACCACCCTACAACCAGGATTCGAACACGGGACCTTCTGGTTGCAAGACGAGCTATTTCGTAAGCCATTCATCAGACAGTGAGATGCGATCCAATGGCCAACCCAGGAATTCTAACTTATGTCAATTCATGACATAGTGTGACCACTTTGCAATGTTTTCTTTGACGAATTAATGCCCCATATTCAGCCTTGTGTACCCTTCTGGTTAGGGTTTCCCATTAGAACCCAAGGTAACCGACTGATTAGGGCCAGTTGCTACTGAGCATCAGATTAATTTTCAAGTAATGGTTTTGTAGGGAATTTTGTTTTGATAGGTTGGAGGATTTCATCATAAGTCGACAGCTGGAACTCACTAGCAACCGGTTCTATTCAGGCAGTGACCTGGGGTTCTAGGTGGGAAGCTATGACCAGTAGGGTGCAGCAGGTTAAATATGAGGCAGTAACTCATCGAAGAAAACATTTCATAGTTGTCACGCAATGTCATCAATAATAATAATAATCATTTTTAGACGGCTGGATATCTGTCTACTGACCAAGTAGTAACATACCTTAAAAACTAAACGCCCCATTGTCAATACTTATCACCCTTATTATCTGACGATACTGTCACTACACCATTGCAGAAATTCCAGCGCCTCAGATTCACCAGTCTTAGCTACTGTTATTTGTTGATGTATTCTAAGCCATGTTCTAATAATTTATTTGAACAACGGTCACATAGATCAACTTAAACTATCAAAACTCAACCTGATAAAGTTAGATAAGGTGGTTTTGATGTATCACGTAGAATATGTGTACAAAATTGTAGTGATTTTTTAAGGGATCAAATTCACCCAATAACAGAAGTGTTTCGAAGAACATTTAGGAGAACTCAACACATCTGAAATACTGCATGTAACCTGCTGACCCTGACAAGATCACGTTTATATTGGTTATCGAAAATGTATAAGATAGTACCGCGTCTTCCATTTTAAGATATATTTGGTCCACCATATCAGCCTATTACTCATTGAATAGCTGAAATGATGCATTTTAATTCTTGTGGGTGCTAAAAATCCTAATGTCTCTCATTCGGACTCCTTGTTCACCTTCGTGCTCCTGTCAGCATGGTCGTTTATATGGAACTAGTAATTCACACGTCAAGTAAAATAACTATATGATTAGCTGTCATTTCCAGGGTTAATTGCTTTGTTCCTGGTGAAGTGAATCGTTCGACTTTGGATTCAGTCTTCTATGTCTTCCTCGGTGTGGTGATAGAATTTTTTTTAATTTTTGATTTACAGCTTGATTCCACACCGTATTTTTGGTACAAGTATGGAATTTTCAGCATGCATATCGGTAACCCCAAATTTTGCAGGCCGACCATAGATATCAGTTGTGCATCGGCAGGCAATCGAACCTCGGACCATGTGCATGGTCGGCGAGAGTACTAACCACTGTGCCACCGACTCACCGAAGTCAAAGGATCAGTTAATCGTTTATTGTCATGTTTGTTGAAATAACAAAAGAAGGCATTCAAACACAACAGAATTCCCAGAATTATGATTATCTCCATTCTAACAGATACCAGTCATACAATTGGTGGATGGTGGCTAACAGTGGAATCCAGGATAAAGCGCATTTCGTCCTATTTGGGACTCGTCAGCTGGATGTACCTGCATTTCTCAGTGAGTGATGATGTTCCCACCGAGGCTTGAACCCAGTACCCATGGTTTCAAACGCCAAAGCGTTATCTACTAGACCACTTGGGCCACGAGAGCCACCTCTTGTGCAACGGGTCATATTAATTATTCAATTGAATTTTTGACTTTCCCGTCGATTGATTGGACCGAAGTGCTCGGTCTCAGGTTGACATGTCGGCTTGTTGTGCAGATGCTTGGACGATGTCTGGTCATTTAATTAGTATACAATTGGTGGATGGTGGCTAGCAGTGGAATCCAGGATAAAGCGCATTTCGTCCTATTTGGGACTCGTCAGCTGGATGTACCTGCATTTCTCAGTGAGTGATGATGATGTTCCCACCGAGGCTTGAACCCAGTACCCATGGTTTCAAACGCCAAAGCGTTATCTACTAGACCACTTGGGCCACGAGAGCCACCTCTTGTGCAACGGGTCATATTAATTATTGAATTGAATTTTTGATTTTCCCATCGATTGATTGGCACGAAGTGCTCGGTCTCAGGTTGACAAGAACCCGACATTTCAACCTGAGACCGAGCACTTCGGTCCAATCAATCGACGGGAAAATCAAAAACTCAATTCAATAAGATACCAGTCATATTTGAATACAATGACACAAGGTGGAGTTGTGCGAAATAATTACCTAGAAAATGTACGCCTCAAAGTATTGAAGTACAAAGTTTTTGGCTACTTTATTCTTAATCGGTAGTATAACTACATAGGATACATTTTTAAAATTTGTGGACATCATTCAGAAGAGTTAGGGAATTGCCTGTAAGTACAGTTGGTCATATCAGGTGGTAACAAGCCTGATATGAATTTATTTGTACTGTGCAAATTAATAAATTTAAATATATCTTAAGTAATTAAGCAACAAGAACGTTTTTTATTTCAATTCAGGAGTTTCCTGTTGACTGATGCGAAATGCCTAGCCTCCCTCGATATGTTGTCTACCACTGAAGACGATTCAACGAGGCTTGAAGATTAAACTGAAGTAGTTTGCGGATGTTGACTAGCAGTGGAATTCAGGATACTCATTCCGTCCTATTTTGAGGCTCAGTAGGAACACCATCAATCTCAGGAAAAGGCAGATATATCCGACTGATGAGTCCTAAAGTAGGACGAAATCCGCATCATGAATTCCACGATTAGTCACCACCTAACAAAAGCAATGTTTAAAAGGTTAACAAATTCAGAATAATTATAAAGTATATTTTAAAGGTGAGAGTTTTAGAGGAAGAGATAAAACTAAGGCAAACATTTAATGTTGCGGGATTTAAAGTCTAAAGTTTAAGAAGGATAATTTGTGATAAGAAAACGTTTAGGAAATACACAGTTTCTTGTTCAGCAAAGAAATATCTCTTCTCAACAACTTCATTTTCAGCCGTATTTATATTACGGAAAAAGAAGGTATTAAGTGGCACTACAAATTGTTCAGTAGTCAATATTGCATATATGATAAGAATAAAGATAATTAAAATGATGTACTAGTGGGGTGTGCGTCGTTGGCACAGCGATTAGGACTCTCACCGATCATGCACATGGTCCGGGGTTCGGTCCCCGACCGAATCACTCCTTTACCTCGCTAAACCAGTAATGAGACTGGTTAAGAGGAAAGGTTGGGCATGAGGCTAGCAAACCCATCCTGTAAAATTGATCACTGCCACAGAAACTTCAAACCACTAGTTTGAGGCCAACGGTTCCACTGGGAACGTGAAGGAAATAAAAAAAACTAGGGAGGGGTAGGGTTGAAGTGCATGAATTACAAAACCTCAAATGATTACTAAATAAATTAATTGGCGTTAAAATTTCACTTCTAAAATGTAATGCTGGCTAGAAGAGAGGATGGCACGTTAAAAAGGTCGATTTACCGAAAGTCCACACTTACAGGTCAGTACACCAACTTCAAAATTTGGGTACCCCTAGGTAGGAAGAGAAAACTTATCTGTTCTCTGTGCTCCAGAATTAAGGCCGACAAAGAACTAGAATGCCTTCACACAACTCTCTAGAATAATGGATACCTAGAAGGTTTATCCACTGAAACATCAAGAAAGAAAACGTCCCCAGCTAAATCACAGCGCCAAAGAAAGCACTGTCTATTACTTTGGCGTTCAAAAATGACACTATTTCTGAATATGCTGAACGCTCTTTTTATGTAGCTGACTTACATTACATTCATCATTACATTCATTACATTCAGTATTCACCAGTCGAAATATGATCTGACAATGCGCTTATGTCCACCTCTATATGCATTTACTCATTCACATACTCGTGTGGACCTGATCGCATTGGATGTTTTAAACGTGTTTCAAGTAAAAGCTCAGCTCAACGCTACTCTTTTTGGTTAGTGAAAGGTGAAGAAAGAACGACGTAGACTTCAGTTTGTGAACACCTTCTGAAGTTAGTTCATTCAACCTTAGGTGAATTACCCTTTAAACTTATGAACAGGACCGAATCCAACCACTCCAAAAGCTTTTATCTTCTCCACTTTTGCATAACCGAAGCTCTAGCTAAACATGAATAGAAACCTAAATTATATATTGAAAAATATTCTGTTAAACCTTTTTTTTTACCTTGGTCATAGTAATATTCATTTATTTATTTTCTTTTACAACTTAAATTCATTCCACTTCACATCACCTTCGACGTCTTTATGGTTTTAGTCACCGTTTGTTTTGTATCTAGGCAACACCTGATCT